ATACAAACAGTTTATTGCATCAACATCTAGTTTTCCTTTGGACACAACGATTTTTATCATACTGCGATTTCAACGAAAGAGACTGCAAACAAGAAATTAATCAATTAAGAATTGTAAGCCGATTGATTCTGACTGAAGTTTAATGGTCTGATGCTTGCCAAGAGGCCTTATGATCCTAGGTTCGATCCCATATCGAGCTGTGAGTAAGCACTGATGCTTTGATGTAAAACAAAAGAGCTCCCTTGTTCCTCCTAGTTTTAGATTGTATTTCAACTGATATCGGTTCAAGATGAAAACTGATTTCCTGCCGAGCAGTATCAACAAACTTCTACCTTAATCATAAAATTATCGGCACTATTATAACCGTCATAATATGGTCGTTTATCCAACTTCTAAACACAAAAACTTCAGACTATTTTACAATAATCAATCACTCTAAAACTTCTGACCTACCTTTTATCAAACTATAAAACTCGAAAGTAAAGCTTTATGATACGGTGTATTTTGAATAACTGGAAAATTCGGAGACTAAACTCAAAGTTTGTAACAGCATACAATTCAAATCAGGCAGAAAAACAATTATTTACAAACTGACGGTTAAACTAAGAGTACATTCTTCAAGTATTACGCTGGACGTTTAAATTCACGTAAAATAATGCTGATACACCATTGTTGAACCTTTACATAATTATTATTCAAGGAAACATTAAATTATTATGAAATTTATTATTTTGAATAAATAGATTTTCCACTTGCGTTCGACACGCAACAATCATCAGTAATCAATATCAACCATATCAACAAAGATCACTATATAAATCTTTGCAATAAAAGCCAAGTGACATGTATTTTATGTTTATTTAGGCGTTAAAAATTAAGTTTCTTGCATATTTTTTATCACTCATATAACGTGTTAAGTTAAACATCAATAATCCTTCAGTGTTAAAACTAACCAGTTTTCGTTGGAGGAAACATTATAATGACTCGTTTGTGCAATGAAAAAATTTACTATATCAGTTGAATGTTAAAACTTTTTACGGTAACAAAACGTAACTTAAAATGTTTTAGTTGTTAGATTATTTGAAATCAGCTATGTAACGATTTGATTGTTTAATCAGTTACCTACTGTCAGAACTCAAACTAATTAACTTAGACATTATGTTGACTTGTTCGATCGAACATATATTCAATCGAATAGTTGATATACAAGAATGAAAAATATCATAAATCACACTGAATGTTAGTGTTTATTTAATATATGAGTTTACCTGAGTACCAGTTAGCTTCTCTGAGACTTGCCTCCACTAAAAGAAGTAGATATTTGATTATTTTAATTAGTCACAGAAAATTTTATTATTAAAATCTAAATGCTACATGAACTAGATTCGTTCAATTTGGGTGCATAAGATATTATAGAATTTTAAGGAAATAACTACCATCAATCTAACTTTCAGCTGTAATATTAGTTGGAGTTATAAAAGCCAACTTATACGAGTACCGTTGTAACTACTACATGGGTGAGTTGGAAAACGCGTAATGAAAATAAATTTAGTAATTTCAATAGTTGATATCATGAAGCTAGACCACTGTGGAAAGCCTGGAAGCATTGGATGGCCGTCTCGTAGATTGGTTGAAGCTAAGCATTAACACCATTGGATGCCGGCTCAGTGGTCTAGTAGTTGAGCGCTCGCGCTTGAGACTGATAGGTCCTGGGTTCGAATCTTGAGGGGCGGGGTCGTGGGTGCGCGCTGCTGCGTCCCACAATAAGACGAAACGGCCGTCCAGTGCTTTCAGGTTTTCCATGGTGGTCTAGCTTCAATTGACTCATGATCTCAACTATTGAAATTACTACAATCTCCACAAAACTTCTGATACTAATAAATTTAGTATTTATTTACATAATACACTGTCTCAAAAATCTACAGGGAATTTCAATGAGTATAATAAAATAAATTGATATAGAGTGAAGCTATTGTAAATGTAACTCATAAAAGTAATTAAGAATTTTTGTATACCTTATAGTGTGATCAGTGAGTTTCATTATGAAAAATATCATTATCACTAACTCAAGTGAACATTCATGCAGTAAATGAATTTTAAATAGTGTTCTAATCATGTTTATTTTTGTCTAATATTTTGTACATAAGCAAGTAATTGGATTAAATGAAATACAATTTTGTTGAATAGCTATTTTGTCTTCTGAAATCTATTCTATCTGAAGGCTTGGTTCGATAAATTGGTCTTATGAACAGAATAGCATTATTACACATTATCGATCGATCAAATTTTTGTATCCATTAATCTAATACTCTCCAAACTATTTTTATCTGAGAAATCTTATTCACAAGTCACTCGGGTAAAAGACTTGGTAGCTCAACACATTATACCTTTCATGCGATTATTAGTGAGTACTGATAGAAAGATTTTGTGCTTATTGGTACAGTTAAAACAGTTTGCCATTAAACACCTTTTAATGATTGATTAGCCTATCCATTCCAGTTTTTGAATAAAAACGGAATCAGAATCGATCAGCAACATATTGAACATTCGAGTGATCCAATTTAGAATTCAACACATACAAATCATTAGTTGAAATCTTTCCGACAAGTCTCCAAATAACCACTGTCCATTTATCTAATGATAGTATTATGAAAGTAACTCCCTAATTCTGATAATCATTTGTTAGTATTTAGCATTTAGTGCTATAACCATGCAATTAATGTTGAATCTTTCATAGGGTTTCGTGAATAAAGATGAGTTAAACAATTAGATTTATGAATATTTTTTGGTAATTTTTTAAAATTTTGCCATGTCTAAACCAGTATGACATTCTGTCGGGTCAGTTAATAAAATAATGTCCCAAACAAGTAACCTTGGTTCTTAGTTAGAGATAACGACAAATTCTGGATGACAACCAGTTCTGTTACTACAATACCAGTCTGTAATTAGAGTGCCATCGCTCACACATAAAGATATCTTAACGGTCTCAACGTATTTAATAAATGGCTCTACATTTATCACAAGACTTTGCGTCATGGAAGTTAATATAAATTCTGGGGCATTTAAGATATCCGATAAATCAAACGGTAATGATTACTAATATTTTGTATATTTTTCATCACCTTGAAAATCTCTACTATATTTCATTTTACCTTATTTGCCAAAAATTACCAAGTTATTTATCAATGATTTTGACTATGTGATTCTGACACAACTCGTTTCTCCATAGATCATTGCGAAGGATCATAATTAATAAACACATCTGTAAAGTTTGTTAATGTTTTGATCAGTCAAACTAGATATCACACAGCTCAATGAAAATTATTTATTGATAAATGAAATACAATCCATCATATCTGTACAGAACACTAATTAGAACATTAATTGTAGTAGTGTAGAAACTCGGTGACATTCGAACTTAGTGGTTATAAATAAATTTAAAAATGTATTTTGATTCATTTGAAATTGTTATTAAAATAAACATTCAATCTAAGCACTGCTTTGGAAATTATTGGTCACAGTCATTCTTTAAATTAAAGGAAATGAGTACGTGTTTATTAATTTCTGTAAGTTCACAACAAGTTTTGTCTGTTAAATATAACTCGGTGCAACGTGTTATTAGTAAGGTCGATGTATATATATATATATATATATATATATATACTTACGCCTCGTCTAGGAGCATAGACCACCCACCAACACTCTTCATTCAACTCTGTCCTGGACAGTTATTGCCAGCTCTTTCCAGTTGGTATTCATCCTTTTCATATCTGCTTCTTTTTCCCAACGTGATGTGTTCTTTGGCCTTTCTCTTTTCTATTTCCATTCAGGATTCCAAGTTAGCATTTGCTTCGTGATGTGGTTTGATTTCCTAAATGTATGTCCAATGTATGTCCAAATGTATATCCAATTCTGACGTCTTTTCCGAATTTCCTCTTGAGCTGGAAGCTGTTTTGTTCTCCCATAGTAGGCTACTGCTGATGGCATCCAGTCAACGGACATTGAGTATCTTGCGTAGACAATGGTTTATAAATACTTGTACTGTTTTGATGATGATTGTGGTAGTTCTCGAATTTTCAACTCTGTACAATAGAACTGTCTTGATTTTCGTATTGAAGATTCTCATTTTGATATTGAATATATATATATATATATATATGGAACAGTGAAATTTTCGAGCTTTTTGTTTGTGAATTACTTTTACTCACTTCAAATTACTTTTCATAATATAGTATGTAGTAGTAGATCATCGTTAGGATCTAAGTGAACATATCATGTACAACAAGTATCACTTCACACCAAAGATTAGAAAAAGACTAACGTACTTGGAAAAATACACACTCTTAATAAGCCACTGCAAATGTTGCATGTATTGCTTGTCCACACATGCATGTAATATTAATTTTATAAATAAAAAAAACAGCAAATAATGTATACGTTAATGTAATTTAACTGCAAAATGAATACAATCACTAACAGTGATCATTTATACTCAATACCTTATTCAATCTTCATTGAAGATACTAAGAAATTTAACTGAATATAAACCATATTAACTTGATTCTTTACTTATTCTTATGTTAAATGTCTTTTAGTTGAGAATAAAAATTTCATATTGTTTAATACTACTCATCAGTAAGCTAAGTTAGTATTCACATTGATTTTCACGAATTATTAGTTACTCGTCTTGTATAGAAACTATTTTTAAAAAAAAAACTATATTGAAGTGAATAGAGACTCAACTTACATGCAAAATAAATAATTAACGACTTCTTATTAATGAACCTTCATATACGAATGAATATATATACAAATGAACATAAACATACAGAGAATATTCACACCATAAATATTTGTATTTTCATAAGAAGTTTATATATAGATAATCAAAATTAAGAAGAATAAAGTTACATAAAAGAGAAAGAAAAATTATTACATGTTTTTTTAACAGATTGAAAAACTGACAAATTTAACTACACACATACAAAGAAATAAGTCAACTATAATTGTGCATTGTTTATTGTTGTAGATGTGACTAAGGAATGGTCTGTTGTTGTATTCTCAATTGTGGATTGTAACAATTCGGTAGTTTCATCTAAAAGTTTGACAAAAATGTACAAGATATATTTATTGGTCTAAACAGTTCAAGTGTATAATATTGACGTAAATATTAAAATTTCAACCATGCTATAAATAGTGTTGGGGTTTGGGGCTTATGTACATACTTACTTACACCTGTTGCTCCTCGTGAAGGAGCATAGGCCGCCCAACTCTGTTCTGGACAAGGAGCTTATGTATTTATGCAAATATAACTTTCTATTCTCGTAGTTCAGAAGTAGAACATTTAACCAGTAAATTACAGGAATTTGGTTTGAATTAGGCTTACATTTAAGCTATTGGATTTGTGCAAATAAAATAACTATGGACACACCATTACTATTTAAGCATTAAGAACACGAATTTCAGCAAAGTGCTCTCTCTTCAACGAATTTATTATCAAGCTGCACAATCGGATATACATATATGAAAATTCTTTAAAGTATTAGTACCGTGAGAGCATATGAACAAAGAAGAAACAATATAATTATAACCTTTCTATTACATTATCATGTTTATTCTATTTTCATATGTCGTCACGGTACTAATACGTAAAAGGAAATTTCACTTATGTATACACTATTGAACAGCTTTGTGATATCAATAAATTCCGTATTGGACACCAAAATAAATAAATTTCTGATTAAATACTTACGTGTCTCTTCAGTTGTTACATTTTGCTCATTCTCAGTATGTTCAATAGTTTTTACTTCTTCAGATGAATTATGATTAATTTGTTTATCAGACATTGATTCTTCATTTGAATTGATACATTCAGTCTGAAAAGTAAATCAACAAAAAATCAATACAAAACAATAGTCCATTTTAATAGTTGGATTCATCAGTTAATTAAAGCTAGACCATCATGAAAAATCTGAAATCACTGGACGGTCGCTTCGTCCTAATATGGGACTCTTTAGTATTGCTCACCCACGATCGCGCACTACCGAGGAGTTCCGTACTAGAACAAAACGGACGTCCAGTGCTTTCAGGCTTTTCATGGTGGTCTAGCTTCAATTGACTCATGAATTCAACCATTAAATTACTAAAATCTCCACAAAACCCTCTTGTGAGAATAATCCATTTTATCGTACTATGTTATATCATTTAAATTTAAAAGAAAGGACATATTTAGCGTGAATAGGTCGCTTAGAAATTATACCATATGCATTTTTAACTAACTGAAATACCGTTCTTAATGTTTAAGTGACTAATATCCAATGTTATTTTCAATCATGTTATATATTGACAGAAATTATAAGATAAATAAATGTAAATAGTATAAAGTGAGAGAAATAATGATCTAATTACAAATTAGATTAAATATTTGGTGAAAGACTACATAGTGACTACATATAAAGTGACATGAACTCTGTAAACAATAACAAATTTGGAGCTACGTTCTAATTGAACTATTCATATATCTGGAAGATAATTATTAATGATTTAAAGATATGTGAATAATAATGGTAATGATTATGGTATCTGAATTAAACTAATTTCAAGTTATGAAAATATAAAAGGGTAAAGGTTGTATGTTCATTAATGAAATCAAGTCATTCTATAATATAGATGACTACTAACTTATTGTGCCTATGGTTGGTAAAATATAAGATAATAGGTTGAACATATTTTCTTTATACGCATAAATTTGGTTTTTTAGTAAGGATAACTATGATTTTTAGCGTTCGGAAGATTAGGACTTACAAAATTTGGTAAAAAGTTACTAACCAGATAGACTATTGAGAATGATAGATATATGTTGGCACTACTTTGAATGAATTGAACTAATATCCAGGTGTTTACTGTTTCAACAATACCTAAGTGAACCTGAAAGGGTTTCACATGAACAGAAATGTAAGTCCCTAGAAACTCGGCCAAATTAAATGTATTCACACGCTACAATTATCAAAAATCTATTTACCCTAAACTTTCCTATTCTTCTGGATTAGTAATTCGGATAGTATAACTAAACAACCTGAGGAAAATTTATTGAAAGAATATCCTTCGTTCATATATTAATGTTTTAAAATAATGAGAATTTTTAAACAGTTCTAATTAAACTGATTACCTTATATTCCATAACGGACTTTTCCTTTTTAAAGGAGTGATGCTGTAAGGTTTATTTGGAAAAAAACAACAACAGTAGAATATATTGAATTACAAAGTTATATACTATCAATAAAGAATTAATCACTGAGCTTAAGAAGTTACTAAACTAAGACCATTATGATCGTTGTTAACTAAATGGTTACTAATTCTTATACTGTAGCCAATAAATACGATATTTAAGTTCAACATATTTTTTAGTTACATTTAGTCATTGCACATTCAGTGAGTACAAAACCTTAAGGACTAAAATACAATACTGAGTTCCGCCGAAAATATTTGATAGTCAATTGTGTCAAATAGTTTGAATGTAACATTTTTTAGTGTTACAATGCAACTGATGAGTTCGAGTAAAAATAGTTTATTTTTTGAAGATCAGTATCGACAAATATTAGAGAACGATTTGTTACGCCTTTTATGAATACGTTAAACTACTTATTGATAAACTTTGACAAACTATACGTTCATTTCAACTGAATTAAGATAGCTATGTAACTGTATAATTTCATGCCGGAAACCACACCATCTTCGATGAAGTAAATGATGCGAAATAGGTCAACTTTAATTTCAAAAGACACTTATATAGGAATTTTATGCAAACTTGATTGTTTACTAGAGACTACATACTAAGAAAATATACAGAATCACTACAAAATCCTATGTTGTATAGTATACTGAACAAAGTCCAAACTAAATTAATGCAAATCCATATTATCTAAAGTAAACGTTACATTGATAAAACACCATTGAAAAACTAGTACACTAGTCAACTATCATACTCAATTATAACCAATGTTATATTAACCAAAAACTACAGAATTGAAAACATCATCTCAAATTATAATTCTGTCCTAACATATTGTCAATGAATTTTCACGTATAATGAAGATTAATGCTATGAAATATGATATCTATATATGGATAAAATTAAATTTTTCTACCTTTGGTAAATGAATATGTACATTTTTCTTTAACCATTTGACTAGATTGACTTTTTTCTGTTAACAACAACAAAAAAAAGAATTATAAAATGATAATATGATCAGTATCAGAGTTATCAATCGAAATTACAATTTGTCATAAATTTATCCATCAGTAAATCAATTAACTAACCTTGTGTTCTTTGTCTTTCTCGCCTGATGAATTCTATAATGATAGAAGGGAATAAATAACTATATTACAGTAGTAGTAGTAATTAGTATTTGAATATATAAATATATAATGCTAAACCATGTAAATTGATTATACTTTAACGAAGTGAAAATACTTACTGTCTGGATTTGTTGTACGTAACGTTTTATGTAGTACTACCAAGATTAATTTCAAAGAAATACAACATTGAATAGAGTGGTTTATTTATTTATTTTTAATGTTATATTTGTGATATCTTAATGAGTTTTTCTAATTTCGTTTGCCAATGAAGCTTGTGTTAAAATTGTGTAAACGTCATTTGTATTATGAAGAAAACGAGATCTACATAGTCATGAAAAGTTAGAAATTGAATTTTTTCTGGTTATTTGAATAATTCAAGCATACTATGTTGCCATATGATGATAAGTGAATATTGTGAAAACCTAATGGAAACTATGCTCAAAATAGTGAATTCATTTGATTACTTAGAATATATCACTACAGTATTCTTTTTCCTGTTAGATAAATGAAAGTTATTTTTATATATGTGAACTATCAGCTAAAAGATAGAATATTAAATGTTGATTTTATAGCAATATGGTTGGGGGTTGCCTGTTGAGTTATAGCTTCACTTTTCTTAAGAACAAATTAGGTGTATCACAAAAAGATAATCTCTATTATTGAAGATCAACTTTGCAAGTGCTATGATTCACTGATACTGTCTAAAATCAAGCTTAAATGATATTAATCTCTAACGAAATAATTCAAACAAATAATAGCTTGACCACTTATTCTTTATGCGGCCATGTTGATAACAGCGATAATAATAATAATAATATCTAGTCCTCTATTATAGATTAGTAGAGAAGAGAAATGTATTATTTGATGGTTTGTTACTATTTACTGTCACAAACACTAACCACTACTTTCGATATCTGATTTAATGATTTACTATAAATGTAAATATTTGATCAACATGGTGAGATAAACTGATTAATGCTTTACAATAACAATCGTTTCACAATATAGTATGATCATTTCACTAGTCAATTATTGTTATCTTTGTTAACGTGCTATATCCATGAGTTATGAATTTAGTGTAGACTTCCAACCAGTAGTACATTACTAGCATGAATTGTTATGAATTACGGACTGTTTAAAAAAAAAGATTGTACATATATTAGCCTAAACTTCAAGTCAATGAATTCAACTTCAGTTTATCATTAAGTTATAATTGCTGAATCATGGTTATCAAGACGCATGTTCTTTTAAAACTATGAACTATTATCAGCTAAAAACTATAGATGGATAATAGTAAGGTTTCTAATTGTAGTTTAACGCATAGTTTACAATATTTGATATTTGTAATTATTTCCCTGAATGCAAAATCAAACTAATTGACTGATTAATCAAATTACCAAAGAAAAAAAAGAAGACTAAAATGATTACCTCGGTTGTTTCAGATTGTTCTAGATTTTTGTCAATGATTTCAAAAGTTGATGGTTTTTCTGAATCATCTTCTTTGTCTGAAATTTCTTTTAATTTTGTATTTTTGTCTTTTTCTTCTTCTTCTTCCTCTTTTGCTTCATCGTCACCTTCATTTTCTCGACTTTTCAATATTTCCATTGATGAACTAACATCTGTTTTACACTGATCGTTTTCTTTAATTACAACAGTTTCATTCTATTTATTTTAAAATATGAAAATTAATGAAAGAGTCAATCTTTACATGATTCTCTTCTTGTTTATCTAGTTCACTATTATTTACTATTATTTCTTCTGATTGTATAGAATCATCTTTTATTGGATAGTGTTGATCCTAGAAAATAAAATTTCATATTATCAATTATTTGAATAGAAAATAGTTTACATGGTTTCTTTCTACTTCATTAGGACAATTCACTATTTCATCAGTGTTACAAATAGAGGTTTGTTCATCTGACATTTCTATTTTTTTTATTTTACTGAATGTATCTTCAAAATCGTAGAATCTTTTTTTTTTGTCTGAAACTCAATTTATTATTTATTGAGTTAACTAAATGAGGTCAATGTTTATATAAGAAACATTGGACAGTTTGATATGAATTTCATTGGTTAATTAATAATATTGTCATTATCATCATTATGATTAATTATTTTACATGTAATAGTTTCATTGTAAAAAATAAAGCTTAATCAAAATGAATGTATTTCATTGATAAATCACGTTTACAACTAGATATACATTTATGTAAGTATGTTTCTGAATCAATTTAATATTTAACAAACATATTTATAAAACATAAAGTTATCATTTCATTATTGTTATCGGAAATAATAACGAATATGTTAAATAATTACCAAGTAATACAATGGTAACAATAATGTTTCATTTACCTTAATTATTGAATACAAATTAGAATATGGTTACTGAATTCAATTAAATTTGAAAATAATAATTGGGTATACACCTATAGATTGTTTTTTTTTAGTGATACAAAAAATTTATTTCATTTTTGCTTAGTAACTGAGTTAATATTCATTCTTCGGCAAGACTATAATTTATGGGCGAGCCAATCAGATTTAAGATAATAGGTCTTGGATTTTGGCGCAAAATTCACTCACTCATTCGTCCAAATAGCGTCTTGGCATTTTAACTGATGTCAGTTTGTGATGAAAACCATAAATCTAAATTTTAACCTTTACCATCGACTGTAAATCATTGTCTTTATTCTTTAAACTGCTTTATAACCTTCATTTAGCTCTATTAAGTGGGTAGACACTCTCAAGGTCACTTTGGCATCGCTCAAAGGTCATCCATAAATTACAGTCTCATCCATTCTTCTTTTTGGCTTTTAGTCACATTACTTATATTAGGGTTAATGATACTATCAAACTATTCAAGTCGAAGTAAATGGGTCGAGGTTCACATCTGCAGTCCTATTGTTGAACATGAAGTGTATTTAATTACTGAATCATGATCACACCAATGATTGAATATTATAACAATGGAAAGAAGTATTTTTTTTCTATACAACACATCAATCAAATATTCAGAGTAAGATGGGTAAAGGTTAAGCTTAAATAAACTGAAACATATCTTCAGTATTAGAAATCACTGGTTATTGGTTTAAGCCATATTACAACAGCCAGATTCCCTAAATGATGTTTACTGACATTAAGTAACGTGTTTTGAAATCTATCCGAATAATCCACGTTCATTCTTCCCTTTAAAAAATATTCTAAGTCTTGAGTTCCAACATTCCTTCATACATTTTTTAACATTTTTTTTACCAGTTCTATCTCAAATATATCCTATTTACTAATCAGTGATATTAATTCCATGCTGTTGATCATCTTTAATCTTGTCACTGTGAGATGCAACAACTTGGACAGATAATAAATCAATATGTTTGTAATATCCTAATGAGTAGAAAAATTAGATTTTCTGACGTTTCGTGACTCGGATTTAGTTATTAATTCTCTGAAGAAGTGGCTTACACTGAGTCACGAAACGTCAGAAAATCTCATTTTTCTACTCATTGTGATATTACAGATATACTGATTTATTTATAATAATTTAACCTATGCTCAAGTTATTCGAAATTATCAAGTCAAACCTTGATAATGATACCTACAAATTGAACAGATGTTTATTTGCTACCGTAATCATGGTTAGTTATAGTTAACTAATCGAATCATGCAGTATTATCTCATAATTGAGTCATTGGAATGTTCAGTTATGAGATAATTAAGTACTGCAGTATTATTATGTTCAGTATTGTTTAATTGTTGAGGTTGGAATTTTATATTCCTGTCATGAATTTTATTTTCTCTTCTTTATTAATCCTGAATCTAAGACTGCGTATCGTTTACCTCCAATTACTAAATATCAAACAAGATTCGCTTCAATATCAAGTCACCCCATCTAGTCTCTAAAATGCAACTTGAATGATAGGTTTTCCATTAACCCTAACGTGATAGTAGTTAGTTAGTGTATAAAAACATTATCTCATAGAAAATATAAACAGGATAACTACTATCAGTAATCATTGACATTTAAATCAATAAGTTGGTCACACAAAAACATTTGATAACCTTTTTTTAAAAATCAGTCATATAGAACTAAGTATCCACTTTTTATGTTCACTGAATTATGATTCTCTCGGATACATTTACATACAAATAATCACAAATAAATAGTTGTCAACTTGTAATGTAACATTTATACTGAACTATTGCACATTAAACTGAATTAGAATTCAACGCATTATTGCATAGTATATTAACATTCGATAAAAATTAATTGCAATTAATTTATTTGGTCATCAATGAGTTAGTCATTTAAAAAGACTCTTTAGTCATGTTATAACTTTAGGTTACTATATCTGTAATGATAATAAAAAGTTTTGTATTGTGCCAATTTTGCTGTAACCGTTTTATTTTTATTTATTTATTTTTTTGAAAACAAAACTATTCAATGTTTACAAATAAATAAATGTACAATTTACTCAAACAACTAAGTAGAACTTGAGTATTTATATAATAAAACATTTATCAAAATACACCTAATTCGACCACTTTAATCAAACATGAACAAAATACATAAATACATTTTGATAATGTTATACTTACAAACATAGTTTGTAATAGTTAATAATAATGAACTTATCATGAACAATAATTTACCATTCTATTTATTTGGCACGTAATCATAAACACTGTTTCATTGATACGAAAATTATCTATCGATTATGACATGTGTCTAATATGATTAGTGTATGATTTCATTTTGCCTCTCTCTTATCGATATGTATCTTCAGAAATACATAGTTAGAAACTATTTTATAAAATGACTAACTGACATTCTGGTGAGGTAAAAATGTAACCAGTTCATTGAGAGATATGAAAGCTATAGGGTTGATCCTATGTAGGTTAGTGATTGTATACCAGTGAGTTTTCTACTAGTCTGAGGCATCTGTCTGGTGTTCAATTTATAATACAAGCTATCTTGGAGAGTTTAAAAAACTTTTTGAAATGGTGGAATCGGACATCTCAGTTTGAAGATTGACGGTAGATATACTATGAGAAAGAGATGAATAATACTATGTTTAATAACAATCATGAGTCTGTTTGACCATTTTTAAATTATGTTCAAAGATTTATACGAATATTCGTCAAGATTAGAACGAATAGTTTGACATTAATTGAGCGCCGAGTATAGAGAAGTCACTATATGTGAAAATTATATTTGAAATATTCTCAGGGATTGAAATTTAACTAATTCCAACGTTTCGTCCAGCTAACTTGTCTGGACTTCTTCAGGGTAATAATCAAAATCAAAGATGATGTATGGTTTATTTGATCTACTGGCTGAACTAAATTCCTTGGAATCAAATCAACTAATATCAACAACTTGAAGGTATCTGAAGACTAGTTTACTGTAATGCTAGAATTTTAAGTGGTATACAACCGTCAACTCATTACTGGAGAAACTAAATCCCACATCTACATGTCTTATACCAAGCATATTACTGTTAATTAACTGAATGAAGAAACAAATGTTGAACATTTTCACATTCAGCTCATCTGCTTATGATTATTTGAATGGGATTTTTATTTGTTTCAAAAAGTTCTAGCTTTGTCATGTGTGTCTGTTTAGTAGCTTAAAATTATCAATCCTAGTGTGTCATCATTGATTTTGACGACCCGTCATTTAACGTTCAATGATCATTCTTCCAAGGAAGGGATACACTTGGCTTTATAGATAATTTGACTGGGGTTATTTTTATTTTATCGATCATACGGATATAATAGCTGTTGCGCTGAATGATAATCCAGTCAGTCATCTACAATGTAGGATCAGGCACATACATACATCGATCCAAGTTGCCATACCTCATGAGCACAACATGATGAACACCAAATTCATAGAAGCAGTTACTTCAAAAAAACATTTCATATAAGGATATGATATAGGAAGAAAGGAATAGTTCGTAGAAAGAAAGATAAAAATCAACTTTATTCTCACAGTTTAAGGGAAGACAGAGTGTATAAACCTACGCCATTGTGATCGATTCTGAGCCATATCACCCAGAGTCTTCAACCATTGGTTGCAATAGTCACACCAATCCCAACCAAGTAGTCCGCATCTATCAACATGGCCTAGACCAGAAGTTAGTGACTTCAAACATTGATGCCACGTTTTGGTTTGGCCACCCCTAACTTCCTTCCATTCGTCTCCAACACAAGTCAGCATTGCTCGACGTGGTAATCGGTGTTCAGGCATACGTAACACGTGGCCCAACCATCTCATTCGATGAAGATTCACAACCTCATCAACTGATTTACCATCATTTCCTAATACCCTGCGTCTAACATCACTATTACTTACCCGGTGATCCCAGTAGATGCAAGCAATATTTCTAAGACATTGGTCATTAAATACTAGTAACTTACGAGTATCCTCTACTCTTAATGGCCACGTTTAGCAGACGTAAAGTAGAACAGAAGGAACTGCTGAAAAGTATACTCGTCCCTTAATTGATAGACGGATATCTCGCCTTCGCCATAGGTGACGTAAGTTGGCAAAAGCCAATTGAGCTTTTCGAATCCGTGCTGAGATTTCGTCAGACACCAACCCATTAGAGCTGATCAGACTTCCAAGATAAGTGAAATTGTCAACGCGTTCGACTACTTCACTCCCTATCCTTAGTTCAAGTGTTGACGCAGGCCAGTCTTGAAGCAACAACTTGCATTTAGAGAGAGAGAGAGAGAAGCACATTCCAAACATTCTGGCATTGTTGCTCAGTGCTACCAGAAGACTGCATTCTATCAGCGTCTTCACCAAATAGGACTATGTCGTCCGCGTACTCTAAGTCGATAAGTGGACCTCCTGGAAGGAGATCAACACCCAAGAATTCAGTAGACGAGAATGTTATTTCCATCAGTAGTTCTATGATGAAG